AGATGTGTTTAAGATGGACCCAGACTTCCTGGAGAATGAAGAGAAATATAAAGCCATTAAAAAAGGTGAGAATGCGCACAAACATCACACTGTTAACTGTCCAATCAGCTATCACTTCCTTCAAAGTTTAACCAATCAGATGTCCCCTCCTGACAGAAATCCTGGACGAGGGCAGCAGCGATTCGGGGGAGGACGGAGACGGCAGCGACGAAGATGAAGACGATGCAGATGAGAATGAGGAGGAGGGAGATGGTGAGACGGACGAGTCGATGGTTTTCTTTCTCTAATTTAAGGGGCGTTGATTTTACTGCTCGCCCCATGAAAACAATTGTGTAACGTTTTCTATGGCTCTGGAGGAGCTTTTGTCAAGTCTGAGAAAAATAACCCGGATGGGTTATCTCCATATTGGGCTTGACAGCAAATTTTAAACAGAAAGCTTGAGTTTATAAACTGGAGGGAGGGTTTAAAGAAAAAGACGCTATCCAGTTGCATTATGAGAAATATAGGATCCAGTGTTTTTGGGTTTGAGTATTTCGACCTCCGTTGCATCATTGTAAAAGTAGTTCAACATTTTGGGGTAATACATTTTTCATTTTATTGCCGAGAGGTCACTCTACTGTCTGTTTGTTGAATAGGAAGCTACAGCCAGGAGACGGTTAGCTTAGCATAAAGATTGGAAACGGGGAAATAACTTGGCTCTGTTTAAAAAAATAAAAAAAAAAATCCACCTGCCTACACCCTTTAAAGCTCACTAATTATAGGCTTCCTCTGGTGTTTTTGACGCATTCAGGGTTTTTCCTGGCTTGGAATGGGCCTTTTTAGGGGCCATTTTAACACAAAACACAACCAGCCAAATCTCTCTCGCTCTCGCTCTCTCTCACACAGATGAGAAGGTCACCATCTTTGATCAGACAGAAGTCAACCTGGTTGCTTTCCGAAGAACCATCTACCTCGCTATACAGTCCAGGTACACACACAGTAACACACACTCAAAAATACACATCACACTGTCAGTGACTCAGTTGTCTCTCAGGGTTTTGGCAGTTATTTACAGCGCCTTCTATATTTGATGGACTTGGACTAATATTTAAAGCTGTGTGTGTAGCCTAGTTACCATGCTTTCATTGAAGAACACTTCACAGGTTTGGAGAATAGGATGAAACATGGAAACAGATTGAGAAAATTACACATGTACAGAAACACACAAACAGTAACACACACACAGTTGGACACATTTGCTCACTGGACACTAACTGATTGATTGTTTTCCTTTAGTTTGGACTTTGAGGAGTGCGCTCACAAACTGATCAAGATGGACTTTCCTGACAGCCAGACGGTGAGTCCATAAACGCGCGCACACTTGGCCGATGTAAAAAGGCTTTAGTGACACACACAGTAATGACGATGACTCTAAAGTGAGATGACACACAGTATACAGTCGTTAACTACAAGTGTTAGATTGACAAAGCTAGACTGCTGAAACACTCCATTGACAATCAATTCATCGTTGAAGTCATTTGTTAAACAAAAATACCTAAAATGTTTATTTCATCTGCTGACCAGAAGGTGGCACTGATAAAAAGTTCAGTAGAGCTGCAACAATTAGTCGATTAATTGTTTAGTTGTCAACTATGAAATTAATTGGCAACTATTATGATAATCGATTAATCGTTTAGAGCATTTTTTAAAGGATATGAAAGATTTCAGCTTCTTAAATGTGATTATTTTCTGGTTTCTTTACTCCTCTATAGAGCCCGACCGATATGGGTTTTTGGGGGCCGATGCTGATATTAAAGTGAAAAAGTGCCGATTTATGAGCAGATATTTTGATTTTAAGAATGATTTGGATAGTAGACCCCCTTACTGTATAAACTACACTTTAGGCCGATATTGAAAGCTGGAATGTATGTGGGCTATAAAACCTTTTCCTAAATGGATTATATTAATAAAATAGATTACAGTCTCAAAAAGTGAACATGTAAACAATTGCACATCAATAAATATTTGCTGCTGGAAGGTGCAATTTTTTCTGCCCTCTGTAAAAAGAGAGAGTGAGAGAGAACAAGTGTGTGTACACCAGAAACTATAGCTTAATGGCTCATTAAAAGGTTGGCGCGTTTTGTGGCTAATTTAGCAAAGGGCAGCGTGAGCTGCTGTAACTTTACGTGATTTTAGAGATTATTTAGAAGTGATGAACTTGGGACAAAGGTGGACCGTTCACTACAACTGCCACACTGTTTGAAATAAATGTACAGTTACGTCTGTCCAGCAGCGTAGCTTTCAACACCCAACTACCGTAACATTAACCTGCTGTGAGCTGGTAGGAAGCCGGGAGAATGCAGTGAAAAACGGGAGGGTTGGCAAGTCATGAATGTTTTCAGGAGAAGAGATTGGGTCTGTTTTTATTATAATTATTTAAGTCATGTAATTAACGTGACAAAAGACCCACTCACCCTTCACACAGCCCTCTGCCTGTTTCTAAATTCTACGTGTAAGCTCTGGTAAACTCTGGTCAGCTGACTGTTTTCTTCTGTGGTTTTTGTGGTGAGGCGGTGTAGTTAACAGGGCAGCTGCAGCTGGTCACCGTCTGGTGGGCAAACTATGCAACACGCATGACATGAGTGAAGGATCTGAAGTGGAATTTATACTTCTGCGTCAAATCGACGGCGTAGGCTACGGGGCTACGCAGAGGCTACGCCGTCGCCTGATGCGCACCTCCTCAAAAATGTAACTACACGTCGAGTCGACACGGACCGTAAGCTCTGTGATTGGTCGGCTGGGTGGCCTCGCAATGCCTCCGAACCGCCCGGAAGTACCCCACGCTTTGAAGTAACATTTACTAGCGGCCAAAACGGCGGCTGTAACACAGTGAATCAATATATTTGACCGTCACAATCCGAGTGAAATGAGTCGTTTCTCTTTCAGAATGCGATGTAACATTTGAAAAGGCTACACCAGCCGCACGTTTACAATTTTACCCCCATTAGCGGAGCTCTAAACCGGAAGTTAGCCTGTATAAGGAGTATAAATCACAGCCGACCAATCACAGTGCTTATGGTCTGCGTCGACTCGACGTGTAGTTACATTTTTGAGGAGGTGCGCATCAGGCGACAACGTAGCCTCTGCGTAGCCCCGTAGCCTACGCCGTCACCTATGTCGTCAATTTGACGCAGAAGTATAAATTGCACTTTAGTCTTGTAGTATGATGAGAAAACATGTTCAACTAGACTCTTATTTCATTGAGTTTTCTTTTTCAAACCGTATGTTTTCACTTTTACTGCCTCAAGAGAAAATACTTTAGTATGAGGACCATTTGATGTGTTTGCCAGACGTACCACTATCTCTGGAAAACGTTAACTGGGGTTGCTTTAGTGTAAACTTCTCCAAATCCAATAAAGAGCAGGAAAGAGCTGTTAAGTTGGAGAAGTGTTTGACTTTGTTTTAGGATTGTAGAGCTGAAATGATCAGTCGATTAATTGTTTAGCCAGTCGACAGAAATTAAAGCAGCATCAATTTTATTCATCAAGCACAAACGTCCACTGGTTCCAGCTTCTTTAATGCGAGGATTTTCTGCTTTTCTATCTTTTTATATTAATTGTTATCGAGTGTCTTTGGGTTTTGGACAGTTTGTCAGACAAAACCAGACATATGAAGATGTCACATTGGACTCCAGGAACTGGTGATGGGCAATTTTCACAGTTTTAAAGAGGTGGTTATGCTTTTTGGCTTTTCCCCTCTCCTTTATTGGGAAATATATCTTTTTTGTGCATGCAACAGGTTTGCAAAGTGAAAAAGCCCAAAGTCCAGCCCAAAGGGAGTTCCCATCTCCCACAGAAAGCTCTGCTCTGAACGGCTTGAAAACAGCTCGTTTGTAGTCCAGCCCTTCACTTCCTTTACTTGTGACGTCACAATGAAAACGCGTCATAAAGCTTGCCAAGTGGCTGGCAGGGTCAGGCACGCCCTCAAACCAAGCTAGTCTGAGCGGAGGCCCTTTGGCTCTACTCGCCCTTGTTTGGTTTTCCATTGTAGAAATGTTGCACCTGTACCTGCTTCCAGGTATTTTTTTTCGTATCACCTCACCTCCGTCGAGGTTCCAAGCGAGCTGAGGGATACTAAAATGTAACGTGAAAACACAGCAGAATACTGATTGGTCAGAGAGAATATTCACTATTCACTGAATCATCATTGCGTGAGCCAGACAGAGGCCAGCAACAGAAAGTTTTACAGTTTTCGTATGGAATTTCATCACTAAATCCATTTCTGAGAAGTTTTGAGGTGAGAAATCAGCTGTGTAGATTTCGAATATTGACAGTTTTACGAGAAGTGATGACGAAACAAAAATGTGCTTGAATATTTTCGGAGTTGAGGAGCTCCGCAAGTGGCTGCAGGGGAGGAGCATGTGAGGCCGGTCAGCCACCCGCTCACAGAGCCCTCTGCTCCCTCCGTCACAGACCGCTGCAGCAACAACGGCAGAGGAAAACACAGCTGGAAGTGTTTTCATACCGCTTATCTGTCTTTACATTCTGAGTAATGTTGAAACGTTTTAACCGTAGATATATTTTAAGAGCTGGTGTGTGTGTCGAATTGAACATTACGTTGCAGCAGTTGTGTGTGGCGTCGCTATGACGACTATCTGCAATGGTAAACGCAGCAGGGCCGAGTAGAGTTGAGTCTATCGATTTGCGCTATGGTAGCATTTTTCGGGGATAGGATAAACAAGCATAGATCGTCAGAACACCGGTAGCAGTTCACGTTTAGTCCTGATGGTAAGATGTGGAACAATGATGTTGTGTGGTTGTGGACTGGTAATAACCATAGACTGTATATAAAAAGGTAATAACTTATACCATCTGCTAGGTTACAGTCGTAGTCTGAAGCGGCTTTGTTTTGGATCACACTACCTTGTTTCTTACGACCCGTACTTCTCTGCTTCTGATTGGCTAGTAGTCCTTACCTGGGAACTGCGCATGTGCAACTCCCAACAGCGTACAACACATAGGGTGAAAAGAGGAGCTGCAGGATGAGAAAAATATGGTGTTTGTTGAAAATGAAACCATGTAAACCTGTTCTGGTACAACCCCTAATTAAGATTTTAAACCTGAAAATTAGCATAATACCACCTCTTTAAGACATTTTTTGTTGTAGATTTAATAATTAATTGTGCTTAAGTTGATTAACTGACTGAGAGAACCAGAGATCAATTGGTGAACAAATTATACTTAATGTCAGGGGCTTGTCTCATCTGTGGCATCATGACGTCATCTGTTTATGTCCATGTTTTTTATGCAATGGTAAATGTTGCTGAATCTGAAGTCACAGAGAACGAGAGAGGAAACACCTGCTGTACGATGCGGATACGGTCCTCACAAATATATTTACGCCAGCTGCGTCTGTGTGTGTGTTTGAGGTCAGAGCTGATGACCTTGTCAGCCAGAGTTTCATCAGCATCAGGACTGAATCATTCAACACAACAGCTGGAACAGACACTCACGCACATGCTTGTCCCCTGACGGGCTTCTCACAGCCTCTGTCTTAACTAAGGCTGTACTGAAAGTCTTTTTTTTTTTTTTTTTTTTTTCCTTTTTGTATTTGAAGCTCCTGGTGAGATTTTCCAACGAAGCTCCGAATGTCTGTCGTCATATTTTAAGTCATCACCAAAGAAAAACTTTTTTTATTGTTTTGTCAACGTAAATGCATATAGGCAGCAAGCTAATTCCAAAATCAGTGTGACACTCACTCATTGTGCAAAGGTCGGTAGTTATTAGTTATTAGTGCCGAAATGGATTTTTCTGTAATTATGGTTATAGAATTTATGGTGCTGTTAGATTACTGCTAGACTGCTTACTCGGTGCCTTTCATGTTACAGGGTGGACGTCAGAACAAATTAAACCTAAAAATCAAGCAGTAATGGTTCTTAATTTTATAAATATGGACATCATTTGTGAGTTTGAACTGAGAATACGGCAAACAACATCTTAAATAAAAAAGAAAAGAGAAGAGAAGGAAACTGTATAAAAAAGGCAGTGGCATTTCAGCCGGAAGAGATTAATATGTTAGTGGAGAAAGACCAGAGAAATAGCATATCAGTTGCTTAAATCAATTAGTTTTGGCGCGTTTGTTATTATTATTTTTTTGGGTCGTCCTGACGAATCTTAGCCTCCTGTGAGTGGTTAGGAGGCATGCACGTAGGAGCCATTATACATGGAAGGGACATGTCCGTCCAACTTTTTGTCCAGCAATTTCGGAGTTGGCTCGTAGCCGAGGTGGTTTACTGTGAGTCAGTCAATCACACACTACAAAATCAGGCATAAATAAACAGTTGAAAAGTGGACAAATTCATGTAGGTTGATAGAAAACATGCGACACAACACAAAGGTGGTGCTGAAAAGTTAAGGGAGAAAAGTTCACTCGAGGCAGGTGCAGCAAAG